CTACATTTCTATTCCTCAAAATCAAGAATGTGCGATAATACCAGGACTAGTTCTGTCTGTTACATCTGCAATCCAAACCCATTTTCTTCTTACGATTACTGGCATAGTGTAGTTCATTGTCGCATAGGTTTGGGTGGGGGTAGGGGTGACATCAAAGGGTCCATTGTTGTATTTTTTCCAAATGTTCCAGGGTCTTCAGATATTTCTTAGGTCATCCTCATCTTTTCCAGTCATCAGAACAGTTTCCACTACAGAGCAGTGCAAAGACAATCACAAGTTTTGACTGTCAAGCATTCCTTCCTGTCCCTTTCTCAAGTTGGTGCTGTATTTGCAGCAGACTGGAAGTACTGCTTTACTTATCTTTTGTACTCTTTTAATGATTAAAGGTAAAATAGCTGATATACCTTTAAGAATTATTTCACGCTGTTCTGCTTCATGTTATCCATTTATTGTCATTCTGACACTGTGCACAAAATAACATAACAACTCAGCAAAATGAATAAAGTTAGGAAGAGTTGTTCTTCAAGCATGAATAAAGACCAACAAAAGAAGATAGCATGATCAAAGAAAATAAGCTAATGTTTCCACTTCAGAATGCATAAAATTTCAAAATGTTAAAAATGAATGGTAGAAAGCATTTTTTAAATGTTTTGTTACAACTGAAATCTGGAGTCTAGTTTTTTCTTAATTCTTTAAAAACTAATTCATGTTTCATTCTGTAGGTGGAAATGGAAGAATCAGCTTCCCAAACGCAAGTGATGTCAAATCCTCTTGCTTTCCCAAGTTTGAACGTCTCGTGTCCAAATGGACTAGTATTAACTTTCCTTGCTGAAACTTTTGGAGGTTAGTTTTCTGAGCCACTGCAAAGTAAGGAATTTTTAAATAAGTTAAAATTACAGAAGAAAATTATTTCTGCCTTGATGGGTTTAGATGTAACATTATGAATTTTTTAACGTCTCAGATTACTAAGTCTATAATAATGTCCATTTGACAGTATTTGCAATATAAATAATGTGTTTTAATTCAAACAAATGTAAAATCTACCATTGTTGGACATAACAGATTGCGGGTAGGGAAGCAGCAACCCTAAAAAGCACTTGGGAGTCATGTTAGATAATCAGTTGAATATGCACATATATTGGAACACAAAAGAAAAATGAGCAAATTGAATTCATAAATGCATATATATCGAGGAATCTTGAGTGATAACAGGAAGACTGTTATATTACCTATATCTGCAATTCCTTTAGAATCATATGTATTGTTCTTAAGATGTTCATATTTTGAAAGATTCAGGGAAAAGTGACAAGAACGATTAAAGCATTGAAGGTGTATCTTATAGTGAGCCTATGTCACCAGAGACCTCAATTTAATTACCAAAGGAAAGGACAAAGAGCTCCCAGTCTGAAAGTACAAAGGAAACAGAATTTTGGTGATAGCTTGTAAACTTGGTATACAAAGGTAGTAAAATTTCAGGGGCTTGAAACTGAAAAGTAGTACTTTTTACTAGATTTAAATTATACCCATTTTTTAATGGTAAGAATGATTAACAAAACTAACCTAGGCTGTAATGGACTCTCTGCTACTGGATATTTTGCAATCAGGTTTTGTTGACTTTCTAAAACACCAGTTTGAAACGGGACTTACTTCAGGTAAGTCCTTTGGTTTATGTCATCCAGTACATAGAGAAGACAGTCATAATAAGCCTTTCTGCCCTTATCGTTGATATTTTTGTCTTGAAGATTCATATGGTATATAGATACATGTAAGTTTCTGTGCCTGATGTATCCCTCTGCAATGATTCCATTTCCCAATGTTTTTGAAAACCAGCATGAGGTTCATCTTTGCATACTGTAAACTGTAGTACATCTTGGGGTTTTGTAGTCACACCATTAGGTTTTGAAGCAGATAAATGTGAATTTTGCTGTTGTCATCCAGTCAATTTTGAAAACAGCACCTACAGATGTCATGTAATGCCTATGTACAACAAACCTGTACCGCTCAGGCTGTATTGGAGCTATTGAATATGTGAAAATAGATCAGCACAACTGCAGAGGTACCCATATCCAGAAATAAACCAGATTTATCACACACACCAAGTACATGCTAGCAGTAATTCCCACACATTCTATGCATGAGCTGTTGCATAAAAACCAGCAGAATCATTTATCTTCCTGGCAACTGATGAAACAACATACCTCTTAGAAACCAGCCAAGTGGTAAGTCCAGTGTACATAAATTAATAAAAAATAATAAATTTGTATTAAATAGCATTAATAAATGTAGAATGGTACACAAGGATCCAGCACAAATTTATAATAAAGTAAGAAAGGAATGTATTGAATTTTTTTTTTGGCCACACAGACCTGAATTGCTAGTAAAAGCTTCCCTCATTTTTCTTCTCAGACATCTCTTTCCTTTTAATATCAAAATCATAGAATCATTGAACAGCCCAGAGTGGAAGGGACATTGGAAGGTCATCTAATCCAACCTTTTGTGGGAAAGAGAGCCTAGATGAGCTTATCTACCACCCTGTCCAATCACATCTGGAAAACCTAAAGCAATGGGGGGGTCTACCACATCCCTGGGGAGGTTGTTCCAGTGAATGATTGTTCTCACTGTAAAATACTTCTCTTACATTGAGATGAAACCTCTCCCATTGTTCCTTGTGTTCTCCATGTGGCTCCTTGTGAAGGGAGAGCCTCTGTCCTCTTTGTAGCTAACCTTTAAGTACTGGAATACTGTTATGAGGTCTCCCCCTCCAGGGAGAAGAGACTTAATTCCTTCAGTCTTTGCTCATAGACAGACTCTCCAGCCCTCTGATCATCTCTGTGGCCCTCCTTTGGAACCTCTCCAGTTGGTCCGCATCTTTCTTGAATTGTCAGGACCAGAACTGCACACAGGACTTCCAGTGCGGCCTGACAAGCGCTGAGTAGAGTGGGGTGATCACAGCTCTGTCTCTGCTAGTAATGCCCCTGTGGATGCAGCCAGCTTGGCAGGATTTGCCAGTTTAGGGTAAATGTGCTCTGATCAATCTGGTATGAAATAGAGAATGCAGAGGGTTTTCAAGCATGCATAGTTTGGCAAGGAGCATAAGTTAAAATTCAGAATAGTTGAGGTGAACAGAGCAATTACAGACACGTACATGTAGTCTCTTGACACAACTACCATAATTATACTCATTAGCACACTCAACACACTGCCATAGTTTGATCGAAAAACCTTATTTGTTCAAGTAGACAAAATATCTAACTTCAGTTTCTATACAAACTCAAACTTGGTGAAACTCAGTAACTTTTTTCACCTTTATGGGCAGTTAGAAAATTTCTCTTACCTAATGTCAGTCTTCCAAATGTCAGCATCTGTAATAAATCTTCAAATTTCACGTATTTTCATTTGCAAAGACAGACACCTCCACAGGAGGTTGCAGAGTTTCTGAGTAGGTGACTGCTTTGAACTGTTCTCTGAAAGGGAGAGTCTGTCCCTTACTCTGTGGATTACAGAGGAAGCCAAGTAGGGTTAGCCTTACGCACCTGAAGTTGCATACCTTCTGTAGACACCATGATGCTACGTGTGCTACACAGTATTAAGTAATTGAGAATTTGTTTTCAGATTTGAAAGGTGAAGCCACTACAGCTGAAGCTGAGAAAGAGGTGGTAAAGAAAAGTGAGGCTGAAGGAGATGAAGCAAAGGAGGAGGAGGTTATGGAAAGTAGAGGAAAGGAACATGAGGTTACAGAAGGAGAAATAAATCATGAAGACACCAAAAGAGAACAGACCAAGCAGCCGACTCTGGAAATTCTGGTTAGGCAAAGTTATTCTCAAAAGGTAAAGAATGCTCATCTATATACATCTGTGGCAAGGCAAGCAGAACAAGAAGTGTCAAGAGTCATCACCAGTCAAGGAACTGTCATAAAGTACATGATGGACGGATCTACGCAGGTATGTTTAGTAGAATTCACTGAAAGCAGTCTGCGTGTGTGATTACCTTTTGAATTTGTGCTTGTCAACGGAGAGAGAGAAGTGTCAAGTTTATAGATGGAGTTAAGTAACCTCTGAGTTATGCAGCCATGTCAAGACTAAAATGCTCTTGGCTTTATTCAGAATCAGAACTTAAGGCACATAGCGAGCTTTAATGATGAAGATTTTAGGCATGTGAAGATTTTAGGCAACTTTGGGATTACAAAATAGCTGAATACGGTTTTGAGAACTACATTCCTGGACTTAAACATCTGAAGTGTGATTTAGTTGGGTTTTGGGTATTTTTGGCAACACAAAAGCATCCATATATTTTTTCATCTAAACAGTCATATGGGATCCAGAAAAGACTTGAACTATTCTTCAGTCCTGCAGACACCTTTAGGTATCCTAAATTTTCATCAAAAAGACTTTATATTCCTAAGTACCTTCTTTGTTTACACACATTTAAGTTGCCCAGAACTCAGGTACCTTTCAGGTGCTATAGGCTAGATACCATCTTTCCAGATACTGTAATCAGTCTACAAGCAATTATCTTTTTAAAGTCTAAGTCTCCATGTGTAGTTAGCAAACAGATGAAAGGAGTCATCATCTATTTTGACTCAGAAATTGTCAAAATAATTCCTTATTTCCTCAAGTTTTTTTCTAAGTAGACAACAACTCCAAATTCTTTACATTCATTCATTACATTAGATCTTAAACCATTTAACCAGGATTTCTGAGAAATACATCCATTTCAGTAGTATGCAAAGAAGCTAGCTGCTGTATGTCTATATATTCTCAACACACTTCCTTCTGACAGAAGCATATAGATGTTATGTGCCTAGCATGATTGTACTATAGTCTTTGTATAAGCAGATTATGCATGCATCCTTCATTATATTAACTTAATGCTTGTGACACATCAAGAATGTATTGCATATAGATAGGCATTCAAAAAAGAAGAAACAGTTAATTACCTTACAGTAACTCTTGAGATGTTTCTATATGTTGTCCATTTGTTTTCCACATGGTACTGTCTTCTCCCTAGAACATCTGTACTGTATTTGTAAATTAATTCAGGGACAATTGTTCCCTGCCACACAAGGGAACATGCATATCAAGAGTTTAGTGTGATGGACAATAGATCTCAGAAACCAGCTATAATAATATAAATAACCATCACTTCTTTTTGTTAGCTGTCTTGATGGCTAAAATCAACAGCAATCCTAGACATGTGGAATATATGAATACAAATCAATGTGGTGATACAGATGCATTACCGCTGCTACAAAAAAAGTCATCAACATTTGACTACTTAAATAGTCAAAGAATAATCTTTGCTGTTAACTTTTAGAATGCCTATTTGTTAATAAATAGAGTCCCCATTAATTATATATGTGAACTGCAGCAATTATCAGTCCTTTCTTTTTGAGATGGCTTCCTCATTTCTTGCATTCATTCTGACAGTCTTTTACTTTTTTCCCCCTCCATCACCCACAATATTCTAGTGACTACTGCATTTGTGATACATTCTTTTGAGACTTTCTATTGGTGTTTGAAGTGATTTTAAACTCTAGTATGTCCTTGATTTGTGTAGATTCTGTTTGCTGATGGCACAGTGAGTTGGAGTCCTGATTCTGGCCCTATCGTACCACCACCTACAATTCCAGATATCATGCAACCATTACCAGAATTGGTGGAGCCTTTACCTGAGACCAGCACTAAGAAAGGTAACATTTCCAGTGTTTTGGACAAATTTAAAGTTAGCAGGGCTGATGATACTTTATAAAGGGTGTATTTCTTTACTCTGAAAATTCTAGCAAAGTGAAAATGCAATTTTATCTGTACTCAGTTGCTGCACACTGCTAATTTGATACCTTCATAGCAAATAATTTCTCTCCTACTCCAGATTTCTTTTTCTTCTAACATGCTAGGACTGTAATAAGTAAAAGGGTAAGAACTACATCAGTAGCAGAGTGATTCAACAAAAAGTCTTTTAAAAGAAATCCTTACTTATGTAGTAGTGTAAAATCCTTACTTCTGTGTTACACAGTTTTTAGTCTTGCTCTCAAGAAATGCTTCTCTCGCAGAGGACTTACTGTATTTTTCTTTCTCATTGTATGTATTCCAAGGCACCTACTATTGGTCATTATCAATTGGTTGTATGAACTTGTGGTCTGTCCCAATATAACCATTCTTACATTATTTTGTTTGACTGAGAAAGAACCAAATGAAAGTTTACTTAATACCTCAGAGTGTAGTCCAAGATCACTGTCAGTGCTACTTAGTACAAAGAGTAATTATGACCTGTTGTAATATTAACTTACAATTTATTGGAAGTATGTGAATAAAAATTGCTGCCAAAGAGAAAAGTCTGTCAAAAAGAGGCTTTCAAGTCATCAAGTCCAGTCCTTGTTCTTAGGATATTCCTTAGGATAACTGGAAAGATGTTGGAGAACTTCTCTGACAAACTGTCTTCTAATTTTCAGTCTCAGTATTTGTGGCCAGTGTATATCCTTTATTCCTTATCCTTTATTTACAATCACTTTTTCCTCCCACCTTTCCTCTCCATTGCTTAGTCTTGACAAATTTATAATTTATAGTGAACAGTTTCATCTCTTTTTGGCTTTTTTTTCTTTTTTTTTCTTTTTTTTTTTTTCTCTAGGATGTATATGCTGTTAGCCTTTGAGACTCCTCTGGACAATGCAGTTGTCTTTTGCATACACTTAGTCTAAGTTCCTTTTCTTGAATATGGAAGACCGGAGTTCTCTATCACCCTTTTAATAAGATCTCTCCATTACCTTTCACAATGGAATCTCCATTCCTTTTCTTCTGATGCACTATACAATTGTGTTTGCCTTTTTTGACACTATATTTTTACACTGATAACTTGTAGTCATTCTCTATGGATGATACCTCCAGGTCTGTCTTTTCTTCTACTGTTGCAAACTTGTCTGAAGCAGAAATTATTTTTATTCCTTTTCGCATTAAATTTCATTCTAATAGACTGTATCAAGCTTCTGTTACTTTGATCTTCAAGCTCATGGGGTAGTTTAGGATGCTTTTTTTCCTGTAATCTATTCAGATTTTCTTCTGCATTGGTGGTTCCTTCCAAAGTCATGTCATAATCAGATGTCATTAGCATGCTATTTACTTTTTCTGTGTCATTAACGGACACATTAAATAAGATTAGTTCAAGGGCACCCCTTTGAGTAACAGCACTTGTAATTTCCTTCCAGCCTGATAAATAGTTCTTATTTCAATTCTGTCAAAACCAATACTCACAGAAACTCTGCACTTCATTGATTTTTGTCTTTTGCCTTAGAGAATACCAAGTCTCATATAGAAATTTTTGTTTCTGCAGGAAAAGGCAATGACAGAAACAGTATATCAAACCCAACCAAGGATGAGTTGTTTGAAAATATTGTTCAGGGTCTGGTTAATTCTGAGCAACCTAAGGAGAACCAGGCAGGAACCTGGATAACAACAACTCCATCAGGCATTCGAGTGGGCACTGAGGGAGCAAAGAGAATGGATCTGAAGCCAATCTTATTCTTTCAGGCAACTGACCCAGCTGATGGAACGGTATTACTATTTTTGTGTTATTATAGCACTGTCTACTAAGCTAAGAGACAGTGCTACCATCATGTAAATTGTAGGATTTGTTCTTTGAATACATGTCCTACAAGTTATTACATTGTTACTAACACAAAAGCTTTAGATTTTATAGAGAATGCAATTCCTTGGTCTCTGAAGTAGATAGAGTTGAAGTAGCCTAGCTTCTTCAGAGTTACAGTACATAATGCCTTGTATATCGCTCTCTACAACTACCTGGAAGGAGGCTGTAGCCAGGTGGGTCTCTTCTCTCAAGTAACAAACGATCGGACAGGAGGAAATGGCCTCAAGTTGTGCCAGGGGACATTTAGATTGGATATTAGGAAACATTTCTTCACCGAAAGGGTTGTCAATCATTGGAACAGCCTGCCCAGGGAAGTGGTTGAGTCACCATCCCTGGAGGTATTTAAAACATGCGTAGATGTGGTGCTTAGGGATGTGATTTAGTGGTGGGCCTGGCAGTGCTAGGTTAATAGTTGGACTTGATGATCTTAAAGGTCTTTTGCAACCAAAAAGATTCTATGATTCTGTTACCGTTGTTGCCATTACAAGTATCACAGTGTTAATATAAATAAGTATTCCTTCATTCTTTCAGGTTATGACTGTACGAGATGATGAAGTGATAATTGTTGAGAAGCTGGATGGTAGCAGAGTAGTAGATCATGCTGATGGTACTAGGATCACAACTTTTTATCAAAACAGTGAAGAACTTTTTGTACCCAAGGATAGCAAGGAAACAGGTAAAATCAAAAGGGGAGCACTGATCTCTGTTCTATCTTGTGAAGCAGATAATTGTCGAAATATATGTTAAAGGCAGCTTACACCCGTAGCCTACATAACAAATCCAATAGTGCCATCCAGGCTTAGTTTGTCTGCTTGGTCTTTTTTCATCAGTATTCAGTGCAAAAATTACATTGTAGCAAACAAGCAAATGTCCCTCTTTCCATGTATATACTTATATGAAGCATCTTTACCATGAGACCTCGGTGCCAGAGTTCTAGTATGTTCATTGCCCTTTCTCCACTTACCCAACTACTAGCAAGCAAGATGATTTGAGTCTTAACTGAAAAGGTGTATAAGGACCAGGGCATCCTCATATTCACCAGAGAAGCCATGGACTCACCAACCTTGGAGACACTGCAAATTTGATTGAAAATGGCTGTGGAAAATGCCACACCTAGAGAAGTAAAACTTAGATTTGCCTGAAATAAATGGGGGCTAATGGTCATCTGTGTTTCTTCTGCCTGTCAGTATACTCTGGATGCTTGGTTCAGTTGCTGGACAAATCCTGTCTTCTGTAATTAAGATGAAGTGTACATTTACTGTGTGGGTATCTGGACTGTTGTGTTCAAACACAGTAGGAAAAGAGAGTTTTTCACTTAACAAAAAATGTTCAGGAACATCTCCCTGTGGGATTTTAAAAATCAAAACAATGACCTTGAACTGATCTGTCTATTCAATGGGAGGGCAATGGCCGGATTAACATACCAGTTTGATTTGTTTTCCAAGATTTGTGTTTCTTCACACCTTAGAGCTTGTATTACAGACAAAAAAGAATTTCAGTGATCCAAATTGTATGTTACAAATATCCAGATCACTATGATTAGTACTGTACTTGATAGAGTGTACTCTCCTGCCAGCCACAGATGGTTACAGACATTTTTTGCTGTTGGATTTTCCTATATTGCATGTGCAGTCTAGAAATTCGAGGATTGCATATTGTTTACGTAACATAAAATTACATGATAAAGGATGCTACGAAGTTTATAAGGGTCTTTTACTGAGATGAAGATCCAGCCCTATGAGAGAAAAAGCAAAAGACCTTTCCATGGTTCATGTGCTCCTGTCTTCTTGTTCTATATTAATTCTTAGATGAACCCTCAGAAATCACCACAAAGAAGGTGAAATGTATGCAAGTGGAGAATCCTGAGTTTGCTACTGTTATAACAAATTGTGAGGATGGTACCTGTTGTACCATCTTTGGAGATGGGACATCTATTATAGCAAAGCCACAGGGAACATATCAGGTGGGAATTATTTTTAGTTTGTGACAGTGAAATTTATCTTTGTGTTCCAAGTTCCCTGCCATCAGCATCTCTCACCTTGACTATTTTAACTCCCTTCTCTATAGCCTTCAGAAATCCTGTGATTCCATCTCTTTTATACTCTGCCAATATTTAGACATTTACTCACAACTGTATAGTATATTTAAATCACAATCTTAAATTTCCTGAAGTTAAAGAAAATATTACAGAGACTAACATCAGCCTACCTCCTGCACCTCATCTTCCTTCTTTCTCTCCCTTCGGTCCCTCAAAACTGGATCATTCAGTGGTAAATGTCTGAAAGCTCTCCTCTTGACTTGCATCTGTTACTCATTTTCACAGTACCTCTAAACTGAAGATTTCACCTTTCAGGACTGAACCTCTTCCCTTTTTACTGTCATAGGTTTTACCCATCAAGACAGGCTCTCTTTTCATCGATGAAGATTGCTCAGCAGTTTATACCCATGAAGTTTACAACTTCATCAGCAACAAAGAAGAGAAACAAGCAGGGAGATACATTATGAAACACACTTCCAGCACTATTTGTGAGATGATGGATACTGAAGGAAATCTTTTCAAGGTAGAATACATGGAAGGAAACAAGTTTCTGCATTTTAAGTAATTTTATCTTATAAACATCTCTCAAGGCCAGCTTGTAGCCTTGAATACTTGAATCCGGTCTCTGAAATGTTCTTGAGTGTGCAATGGATTTCCCTTTTTTGGTATTTCTCCTTTTTTAGACACTGAAATAAATCACATGGTCTACAGTTTACCTCACCTGTAAAGCTACCTTAATTAGCATGACTTGTATTATAGCAAAAAATCAGCTCTGCAAATGAGGATTAAAAATGAGAGAGGCTATTGCCTTCTCAGAAGGTCTGTAGAAACACTGTAATCTGCCTGGTAAGGCAAATGTTGTTGTAAAAGGAATGATTCAGTCATACTGTATCACAGTATCTAAAAGATACTTTTGAGCTAGGTTAGTACTTAGTTTTGAGTTCCGGAAACATCATCTGTGACCTGCATACTGTTTTCTAATTACGGTTCTAATTAAAGATTCTAAATGTGACATCCTTAGAGTATCCTTTCTATTGTTGCAATTGTCATCATTTTCCTAGATTCCTGTGAAACAGCACTGAGGTTCCCCGGGATATATGCATTTATGATACAGTTTTTAACTTGGCTGAAGAAATAGTGCTTATATAAATCTATGCTATGTGTCAATCTTTCCCTAACAAATTTTGAACTAATTAACCAGAGAGACAGAAATTTCAAAGATACCAAGTTCCTACAAAATCAATGCAATTCAAATCAACACAGAAGTTGCTTGGTGTCAGCATGAGCACATCCTGCTTTTTCTCAGCTGATACTTAGGGAACAAAGGAAGGAGGTTGAGGAGGCTGTGTGGCATTTGAAGGTATTCTAGGCACAGTGATCACAGAGAGTATGGGTTGAAGTAAGAAAGATGAGATTAATGCAGTATGAGAGGCAGACATGAAGAACAACTGCAGGGAAAACAAGTTTCATTGGTTTTGCCATTAATGGAGTATCTTTTATTTACATCATTCCACACTATTTTACTCTTAAGACCCCATTTTCATTGAATAAGTGCTTATGTGATGGAGCAGGTGACCATGTGGATACAGTACCAGTTAACAGCTCATGGATCTAAGCTTCTTATCGTGTACAGATACAACAGGAGGCATCCAGCTTTTGAGTCCTGCCTGCTGTTACAATCATCTGTTACCCAGTTCCTCGAATCCAATTCTCACCTGGTTGGTAGGGATAGCATCCAGGTGCAGGATTGGTGACAGGATTGGTTCTTCCTCTGTCCTAGTCACACCTGAGACTACATCTAAAAGAGCATGGACTGTATGTGCCAGATTCGCTCATGGATCACCCTTTGAATCACTCTGGTTTAAACTGTATCTTCCAAAGGCAACTGAGTATAAGAATTAGAGGCATTGTTATTCCTTGTTAGGTTATTATTCATTGTTAGTTACCTTGTGTGTATATGTTAATGGCATGTTAGTTAACAATCACATAGTATTTTCAAGAAGGAAAGCATTGTAGAAATTCAGTCAGTGTTATCATAAGATTATCTGACACCGTATTTTAAAGTGAATGAATGCCTGAAAAGGGCCCCTTCTATAAATATATACTTGTATATATCTATAGGTAGATAGATCTAAACATATAATCTGTATCTATATCGTCTATATCTCTTCATATATCAACATGTATATAAATATGTGTATATATAGGTGTATATATTTATTCACATTTGCCTATATATACACAGACCTGTAAGTATGTATATATTTATATATACACCTATATAGGAGTATATATTTATGTACTCTGTAATTATTAACTACAATATTAGCATATAAACATATATATAATTATGCATCTATTTGTGTGTATCTGTGTGTGTGTGTAGGTGTATATACACAGATACAGATATACCTCACAGAGGTACATCACTACCTATCTGAGTATACATTCACCTGCCTCGACCAGCAAGTGAGTATTTTTGCGTGAAGCTGCCTATTAATGCCTGCAGATATATATATTGAAGACGCAATGTAAGCATGGATGGCCCAGTTTGACAGCTAACAGTCCTTAGCATTTATTAAATACCAGCATGTTATATTAGTATTTATGATATGTCATGTCTTTCTAGAAATGGGTTTTTTTGTTTTTTCACCACCTTTTCAGTTTTCTTCTTAATTTCTTTTTCCTGTGAATTTCAGGTTGCTCAACATGAAATACACTTTTTCTGTCACTTTCACTGGGCTAAATCATATTAAATTTCAGCAGCATATTAGTGTTTTAAAAGTATCATGTAACTCAAGTCATTTTGTATAATTTCTGTTATAGGTCATGGCTGATGGCAGCACATTTGTGAGTATTCCTAGCATTGGTTCTGATGACAAGGAGGACAGAAGTTCAGCAGCAGTACTCCCAGAAGTTAACAAACCTATCACTTATGATGAGCATGTCCCCAGGTAAACTGCATTGGATTAATAGGTTTACACTTTCTTTCTTCGCTACACTGTATTTGTACAGGGTTTGTAGATTTGCGCTTCCTTTGTTCAGTACTTGCACATTTGATGTCGTCATGCTGGAGTTCCATTTTCTTGATACAGTCTGATGTGTGTGGCTGGCTGTGTAGGTTCTTCATCATCTACGCGGATGGTTCTGGAACCGAGCTCCTGCGGAGCAGGGATGTACACAAGTATCTTGCTGAGGCCTATAGTGATCCCGCTGTTGCCGTCTTGCAGGATCCTCTACAAGAATGTCCAGGTAGGAAACTTTTCTTTTCTGACAAACTAATAACAGAAATAATTGCAAAGGTGGAGTCAAAAGTTTCAAAACTCTTATTTGGACAGGAAATTTGAGAATGTTTTTCCCCATGTAGACAGGCACCCACACTTCTGGCAGTGAAGTATGGAGAAGGAGGAGCTTGTGGGAAAACTCTAGGAAGCAGAGAATTAACTGAATGACCCTGTGAAGGGATAAGTGAACAAATAACTGGCATATCTTTATCCACTCTTAGACACACAAACAAAAGCGATTACCAAATGCATAGATTCTCTGTGTATTTACCATGAAAAAACATTTAATGAATCGCAGTCTTAATTAACGATATATCTCTATTTATCAGGGAAGACAATGATACTCTGATATTGACCCTTAGTCTGGCTGTTATTAAGAAGCTGGAAAAATATGACTGAAATAGGGGATGCCAGTAGTACATGGCACCAAGCACCTTGTAGTAGCAATGCAAGAAGTGACATCCTGAAGTGGTTGGCTATCAGTGTGAAGTTAGTTGGTGATACTGTTTCTATAAAATACACCGTGGCGTATCAGGTAGATCCTAAGAAAATAAATACGTCTTCAAAAAGACAGGAACATATGATTCCCCTGTATATGGGGGGATGATAAGGGTAGTTTGCTTCAAGACATAAAGTATAAGACATTCTTCTCAAAGACTGATATCATAAGCATAGGGAACAGCTTTCCCACCTACTACTCTTTATCAGGTTTTGCACATTTTTTAATGCTGCTTCTGTTCACCATGATGACCGGTTCCCCATTGCATAAACAAAATGAAATAATTTTGCCATGGGAAAAAGAAAAGAGAAAGGGCACTGAGGGAGCCAAAAAGATAGGGAGGGTGGAAAGATCAGGAAGATGGAGGAGATACATATCCAGTGAAAATCCTAGTCAAGAAAACTTGCTCACAACCAGCAATCATTTGAAATAGTAGCATGTCTGCTTTTCCAGAGTTCATACTCTGCCTTGCTCAATACTGGCTCTATTTGCCTTGACAACAAGGCTTCACAATTTTGTATCTTTGTGACAAAGTACCTTAGTGGCGATATCACTTTTGAAGGCCATCTAAGCGGCAGATAATAGTAGATTAAGTAGATTGTTGGGTTGGGTTAGAATATTTTGAAGAACATTAATCAGAACAATAAAAAGAGATAATAAATCATCTCTAATGGAATCCATCCAGTGAACAGATTTTGAAGTATAAAATACCGTGAAGAATTATGCATGTTCTGAATATGATGTACTACTACTGAGATTAATATTCAGCAAACATGGGTCAATTGTCTGCTCTTCCTTGATTGGGATACTCCACACACTGTACAACTGAAATGCTACCCAAGACTGAAAGCAAGTAGCATAGACAGTTTCTTGTTAAACATGATCTGAGTAATCCAAAATTGTCCAACTATTCTATAATCACCTCAGTGATCTGATAGTATCTGTAGCCATGAGTACCACATTTTCACATGGAGTTTTACGACTTGATAATAAGGGTTTTTTATACTTAGGTAAGTGTATTTTTCTGGAGGTTTGAGACACTTGTCCATCATTTTTTGTATTTGAGCTAATGCTTAGCAAAATGTGTCTTTGAACCAGCTGTTCTAAGTATTACTGTCCTCCGCCCATTGGCTGAAACCTCCTCCTGGGTAATGAAGAAAGAACCAGAGAGTATTGTTCCTCCAGATCTTCAGTCAAGGACCCAGGACACATTTTCTTCTCTTGAGGTATAATTGTTTCAAAATTGTCTTTTCTTGCTTGAGCAATAGATGTTTGTTACAGGGGGAAAGGGAGCTCTAAACACTGTGACATTGTTAAGTTCAGTTTATTAAACAGGCAAAGCAAGAGGTAGGCTGTGTCAGGGGAAATGTAGTCACCTTGGGCTTCTATTACTCTCAGTAGGGTGATATAGCAATTTTAAGGGGAGTTCATCTTTCCAGATGAAGAGGTTTTAGGATAGCTAAATTGTGCCCAAGAATCTACTGACTTTATTGTCTAGATCTATGATGCTATAAGGAAAGCATGTGCTTTTCAACTGAGACACACATTGCCGATATCTGTATTTAGTCAGTAATACAAGTAGCCTCTTGCTAGGTTTGCTTATTCTTGCCTATGTTCAGAGGAAGATCACAGGTTCTTCAGTCAGAACACATAGTTGGAGGGGTCTCTGCATTGGATCCAAAGAGCAGACGTGCTTGCCAGTACCTGTGCGAAAATGTCCTAATAAACTGCAAATCCGTCAGCTATTCCAGTATGAGCCACTCAGTGATGAACTAAGAGAAAAGCTGCAGCTTTCCCTCAAGGTAATACAATCACATTTATTCATTCTTCCAGTGGGCAATAGAGAACAGACAAATTGTGTGACATGAATTTGCAGTATGTACCCGAGACAAAAAATAAAAATCTACATTTGAAGAAGAATCATCATTTCGTATGTAGACAGGTGCTGTAAGAAAAATATATTTCTGAAACACCTCAACTGTTTTCAGTCATTTCTTGTGGAACCTACTTTTCTGTGCAAATATGTGGGATCCAGTCCAGTACACATCACAGAAAGTACACTAACAAATAATTTCCTTTCTGTCAATATTGATAGCTATTAGTTTGCTTTTACTTTGCTTAGGGTTTGTTTTCCTTCACAAAGCCTTAAAAACTTAATTCTATAAAGTTGTACAAGAATTTCTAACCTGCCATAATTCTACAGTTAATTTGGTGAGCAGGTCACTGAGACACACTCTAGTCCTGGTTATGTATTTGTTTTCATAAATCAGTGCAGAACATTTCCAGGTTCATGTCTGAGTTCTGTGACTCTGTCCATGTCTAGCAAATAGCTATGTCACCTTCTGACAAAGTACACATCCTTTATCCCTCATCAGTGACTGGTTCATAACAAGGTGCAAGCTATACCTCATGTGCAAGAGTTCTGAGATGAAATCTGAAAGTTCTGCAGTTGATCCTTGTCAGCAGCTTCCTAGTTCTCAGTTTTGGTATAAAACATTGATTTATTTAATTCACATTGTGAAGATGCTCTTAGAAGAGATTTTACAGTTAAAAACTCATTATTACTTACCAATTAGAGAATAACAAAATACATGCATTCTATAATTTATTCATTTAATGTATTCTGATGATAGCATTGCAGACTGAATTTGAAAGTTAACAGCATGTGAAATTTGTGAAGGTTGTAGTATGTTGTAGCTAGTTAGATTTATTTTTTTTTTCACGTTGCATTTCAAAAAACTCATGCTTGCAATAGAAAAACATTGACAGCTGTTCAGCCCCGGCATGTTTGGGGCATGCCAGTCTATCAGAATTAAATTTTACCCTTTTATAGTCTATAAATATATTAAAAATATTCTTTAATTTGCATACCGATCTTTCAAAGGCAATGCTTTTAAAAAAAGTTCCACATGAAAATCCCAAGGTAGGTTTCTCCATTGACCAGATCTGTTGTTGGCTTTTAAAGAAAGAAAAATGCTGTTTGTTACATTAGGAAGGAAGAAGTGCAATTATTGGCACTCAGAAGACATTTGCAATAATCACATTAATCTGCAATGGAAATATCATCATTGCTCATATATCAATATTTAATTAATGGATTTTTCCAGAAAGAGGTCTCTCAAATCTTTAGCCAAATATTCACTTTGTCAGAACTGGATCAAGATCTAAAGAAAAAGGTATTCTTCCTTTCTCCATCTCCTTTAAGATTTAAGAGGTATGAAGGAATGAAAAACAATTGGAACTAGAAACAGATTGCTTCTGCAAACCTTGTCTATTCATAAAGCTTGGTACTGCATGTGGCTTTCTAGCAGAGTGGTGTGTTAGGATAACCTCCTGCAAGGACCCTTTTTTTCATCCAATTGGTCTTCTAAAGCATAACGAAGTGTGGGAAAAGAAAAGTTTTCTTTTCTGTAGCACTTAGTGTGATTCTGGCAAAGTAAACTGTCTAAAAACAGAGATTCAGAATTTTTTCTGAACCTAATTCTTCAATTACGATGTTGTAAATTTCCTTTTCCCTAATAGGAGATCAAACAGGAGGGAGATACAGATCACAGTGTTTGTTAGAACACCTTTGATTCATTAAGCTGATCTTAATAATATAATTGATTATTATTACTAGCAGCTATTTACTCAACACATTCCTTTATTCACTCACATAGTTACTCAAACGTTTGCACGCTCACTCGTCCTTGCCTGGCTGGTGCAACAGTGAGGAGGCCAAACCTACCTGCCTACTCAGAAGCAGGGAGTCACAGTGTCACACCGGGGGCCTCTGGATAGCTGTTGGACGTGGTCCGAGTTGCACAGTTCATTGTGGACGCTCATGTGTGCTCGTGGCTTGGTAGAGATTCAGTAGACTCTTGGTGTCCTTAGTACATTAGTTCTTGCAGATTCAATAGTCTTGCTAGTCTTCAGAGTTGATTAGTCCTTGGTAAGCTTTCACTTGCTGCCTTCTCAGCATGTAGTCCTCTCTTTGACCTGTTGGGTTTCTTAAAAACTATTTATCCATGCAAACTTTTAGATATCTATATAAACCATCCACACAAATTCACAAAGGGGCCTTTATGACATTGAAAAGAACCACGTCCGTTACTTCTACAAACTCTTTTTCTCAATATATGTGCCCCTTAAGTCTGCCTCGGCAAAGAAAACATCTGCATCTTTCTTGTTCTTTTTCATTATTCCACCAGGAATATATAGACAACATTTTAAAGCAGGAAAATGAGCTGGAAGAGATGAATGTAAAAGAACCAAGAACAGAAGAGGAAAAGGAGAATGCTGCAAGTCTCCTTGAACTGGTTACAGTGAGAAAAATACAATTTTTACTACTTTTCCCAACAAACCCATTGTATTGCATTGGAAGTGTCAGCCTTAAAATGCATCATTATCCATTAATAAAATAGCAAATATTAGGATAGCACAATGCCAGCTATGCTGAATTTAATGGTAAAGCAGAGCCACATTCAGCATTCAGCTGGGCTACTGAATGGCACTACTGCAATTTTGGGGAAGAAATGCTGAAAACAGCTTAAGAGTTTGGCTCTTCAAAATGATACATTCCCAAACATGCAGACCAAAAATACTGAGCTGTGTATATCCCCCAGCATTAGGATGAGAATGTTTCCAGTCTGTTGTCATTGCACCTGGGAGACTTCTATTTCAACCACAGCCACCTGCATACTGAGAATTTAAACCCTGCTCCTGGGATAATCCCAAAACAGTCTGGAGGAATATTGTTATTACTGCTGACCAGCATTTATATTTTTTGGAAAATGTGCTCTGCTAATTTGCACAGCTAATTAGGTCATGAAAAGAAAAGGGAGTGGAATAGGTAACGGAAAGGTGAGTAAATAGAGGAAGAGGGACTTGGGGTAGCAGTCAGGAAACAGTGAGGTTAGTGGGAGATGAGTGGTAAAAAAAAATGAGAAAAATTCAAGCAGGAGAAGTGGGTGGAATGGTTTAGGATGAATGAGAGAAACACTGCTTACATCTTAGGTAAAGAGTGATCAGGTTTTGTGTATTTCAGTTCTTTAAATAATTTGTTTCCTACAGCTTCCTTTAAATTTGGTACCTTGCATGATGTGAATTCACACACTAGATTTTTAGTAGCTTAGTACAAAACACTGTTTTCTTTTTTAGTCTCATTTAGGAAATAATTTTATTTCTATTTAATCAAATCACACACGTATAGTTAATTCAAACATACTGAATTAAAAAATCTGGCATTTGAAAAGGAAGATCTAGCTATGTTAGTTTAAATATTTACTTCCAGATGATCTACCAAGCTTTCAAAAGTGAGTGTATTTTAGCAAACAAACATCATCGTAGCCTTAGAGTCTACGTTTTAAATCTTGTCTCAACATGCAAAAACATTAAGAATGAGATCTTTCCAGTTTTAAATGCTGTTAATTTCCTTTTCCTAGTGTTCTCGATAGATCTACAACTTTACCTTTTTTTTTCTCCATACAAGCTTTAAAAAACCACCATGTAATTCTAGAATTTGTCTCTGAACTTTTTAGCCAGGTTAGCATTTTCATTTGCTGAAACTAAAGCATATTTTTTTATATTACAAGCTTTTGTATATATTTTTTGCTCTGTACTTTCAAGTGACCTATAAGTCTTAAAAAGAGTAAAGAAGTATCAAGCAAAAAACCAGGAAGAAGCTCACAACTTTTTTGGAAAGAGGAACGTAGAGAAATGATCTATCAGTAACTCCATCTGCCTGTATCCTCCAGGCAGACATTTGTTTGCTTTAATGAGGTCCAGGTGGTGAATCTCAAGTGCTGCTCAGTTTCAATGGACTTTTCTGGTGACTATTGTTGGTTGTCTCAGCTACCGTGAGCACCTTTCCAGGTACAGATTTCACATGGGACAGCTATTTTCTGAGCAGTACAATCTCACTGTGGACCTGCTGTGACCCAGGAATCGGTGTCACAAGTCTCCACTGTTCTCCAGCTCTGTTACAACCTAGATCTGTTACTGCCTGATCACAGGAACTCTGGTTTCCAGTTAACAGCTTCAGGGACAGTATAAGAATAAAGCAAGCAGCTTAGTTTAGAGTCTCTTATCCCTCAAACACTTTACTGTAAACCAACCACAAGAGAGCTCCTCAGTAACAAAGCCTACAAATTCCTGAACACATTTCCCCTTTGACTTCTCGTTGTGACCATGAGTTTTAGATCTGGTTCAAAACTTTTGCAGAAGGATTTGAGTTTGAATATGAACTGGCTTAGCTGATTTAATAAACAGCAACCATATAAAATACAAAGCCATCTGTGAAGTAGGTCACCGAGAAGGAAACAAATACCTGTTTAGACCAGGGAAATTCAAATTCATACTTCATTCCCTTTTTCACCAGCTCATGTTTTCTAACACACTGAAATGCCTCCATTCTTGTAGTCACGTTCTGAGGTAACAAGATAAAACTTGTTTAGGATAGAAATCCTTTGAACAGGATGCTGTTGTTGTGAGGTTTGTTTCTCATATGGTCACAGTTTTTCATTCTTCATTACAGTCCTTCCCTACCTGGGAGAAGTCATCTGAAGATCTCAGTGCTAGAGGTAATAAAAAATGAATATCTATTTTTTAAAATTGTAAAATACCATAGTAAATTATAGAGTACTGTAGTATTATTTTTAAAGAAGGAATGTAAAGGTGAGTTCATCTATATACTATATACAGGCTTTTGTCTCTTCTATTCCGAGTATGATTTTCACAGGTAATTAGAACTTGTTGGCATCAACGATTGAGTATCTCTAAAAAACACTTCCTGTGTTTAGGCGTGTGCATTTGTCATTTTGAACCACATTTCTACACATATGGAGATTTTTGATGTATAAAAGCTATGACACCACTCAGTTTTAGACAAGTATCAACATTTCAGACAAGTTTTCAAAGCAACTGGATAAGTCTTGGTTGTTTATTACATTTGAAAATCTGATCTGATCTCAAATGATTGTGTGTTACATCAACCTTGCCTGAGGGGAAAAGATGAAACAGTGTATTAGTTTTCCCTTGTGAATTTCTGTTAAAGTTTTCATAAGATACTTGTTAACATTTATTAATGTTTTCAAATGAAAATTAAGATCTATCTTTCTTTCCTTCAAAAATCCATAAGCCTTTACCACAGAAAATTCTATAGTATTTATTCAATCCCGTATTTTTCTGCCCTTCCTACCTTGTCAAGACTATTTCTGCTTGTTAAAATAAGCACACCATGCAAGCTAAATGGAAACTGCTGCAACAAACGTTTGCTACACAGGTTCCTATTTTAAAAAACATAATTAAAATGGTGGTGTACTTGTAACATACCATTATTAATGAAGAAAGTGTGAAAGAGAAGCTCTTCAAAAGAGGCAAAAATATAAAAAGTGGCAAAATAAAAGTATATTTTTTGGTGAAAAAGGCTGACACACAAAATAACACCCTAGTTTTGAAGTTTGCAATTACATAATTCCTGAAACACTGAGAGATGTTGTCATAATCAAATAGGATCATATCTCTCAAATACTCCAATCTCCTAGGTTTTGCCACAGAAATTTATTTTCAACCAAGGAAATTTCTTTGGTCTCACAGTTTAGGTGCAAGGCATGAAGTAAGCAACATGTTTTATAGAAGATGTCAGAGGACAGTGAAAGTCTTTAGTAAAACGCCAAAGCTGGTCACAGTCTTAAATATGGAAAGACTGGCTTTTCTCCATTATACATATTGAGCTAGTAGTTTCTTCCGTGAGAATGTTGATTAAGGCTCCTTCATAGCCACAATTAAGCACAACCTAAGTAAGCTAAAGTAATAAAGGTCCCTGAAAGCCCGCGTTATTTTCTTCAGCTGGAGACAGAGGCATGGAATGTTGGTCCCCAGTCAAAAAGTGGCTGAATATCAGCAACTTTTGCTATTCACAGGTATATGTTTTGTATCTAGGAAGCATATAAAGATATTTCAGGAAATACAGGGTAGGGGTATAAACTTGAGTTGTTTCTGGTTCTTTCTACTTTGAATTGAATTAATTTCCTGTCTGTTAATGTTCTGAACTTGATTTTGGAATGAGGTTCTCTTCCTCTTCCCTCACACTAATAAAAAATCTATAGGTTTTCATCAAGTGACAGATGCATTAAAAATATATCCTTCTTTGTTTATTGTTCATTACACTTAGCAGTGCTTAGCAGAACATTCTAATAATACTCTTTACCTTACAGCTCACATAACTGAGCTGTATGAACAGGCAGTGGATTCGCATCGCCAGAGTCACACAGAGAAGACAATCACTACCCAAAGAGAGGACCAACATCAGAGGTTCAGGTAGGACAGACCAGTGAGAACTGATGCAAATGTAAAGAATGCAAAGGATGAAACCAAGCACACAGGCAAGGCAATGTACTTTACTGACTGTCATTAAGGACCGGGACCTAGATCTCTAGATACATATCATAATGTTTTACTAACTTTTCCTGTGGTTATTTTGTCCCTCTGCGCCTCTCTTTCCTTATCTTGAAGATACTTTTAAAGTTTGTTGGGAAAAGATTTTGAGGGTTTCTTTGATTGAATAATATAATAAAAATGCAGATACGAGTGAACAATTTCATGCAAATTGTGTAAGTCCAGGAGGCACCTGAAATGTTAATGTACTTCATAAAAAGTGTTTTCTATCCAATGTTATCTCGTAAATATTTTTTGTGCTTATAGAAAATTATGCTAGTTTTCTCATTTTCACTACTTTTTTTCTTTTCTGATCATTCAGCCCAGAAGGAGTAACACCAGTGTCCAAGTGGCAGAGCAGACTACAAGAGCACAGGTAATAATATTAGTAGGACAGAAAGTTATTTATTTTATGAGCCAACTTAAGCCTGCTTTTGGAAAGACTGTTTCTGATTTCACCAGGTCTTGGGTAGTGGTCCAGTGAGTTGCTAGCAAATAATGGAGTGTTCTTTGCAACAGAAATGCTGAATGGTTTAACTGTATCTTTTTTTTTTTTTTTTTCCCCAAAAGCTAGTAGTGTTGCTGTTAACTTATGCTATTTAAAACAAGGCTGAAGTCAGAAGTCCTCTGTTCTGTTTTCTGGTTCTGTCACCAGTGTGGAAAATAATTTATATTAATATTTAAATGCTGATACTTTAGATTAAGATTCAGGTATTCTACAAATCCCAGCTGATTTTTCAAATAGAACCCCAGACCCATGACTATCACATGGTGGTGCTTCAAAGCTTCTCAAGGCAAAACAGTCCCAGGTCTCTTAGGCTCTCCTCATATGAAAGATTCTCCAAACCTTTAATCGTCTTTGTGTCCTTTCTCTGGACTTGCTTCTTTAAGTCTATGTCTTTCAATGTATCAGGGAACCCAGAACTGGACACTACTCTACATGTGCTTTCACTAGTGCTGAGTAGAGGGGAAAGTTCACCTCCCTGCCTCCTTGGACCTGCTGACAACACTCCTTCTCACACAGCCCAAGATTCTGCTGGTCGTCTTTGCCGCAAGGGTGCACTGTTGGTTCATGTTCAATTTGGTGTCCACCAGGACTCCTAGGTCCTTCTCTGCAGAGCTGCTTTCCAGCAGTTGGCAAGGTAGCCAGAGTCCCCCATGAGGACCAAGTATTATGAACACAAGGCTTTTTCCAGTCGTCTGAAGAAAGCCACATCTACCTCTTCTTCCTGATCAGGTGGTCCATAGGAGACACCTACAACAATGTCATCAATGTTGGTCTGCTCACTAATCCCAACCTATAAGCTCTCAGGTGGCTCAGCACCCATCCCCAGGCAGAGCTCCCCAGCAGCTTTCCGGCTGCTCTCTTACATACAGGGCAACTTCCCCTCCTGGCCTGCCCTTCCTAAAGAGCCTGTATCCATCTGTCACAGCACTCCATTCATGCGAGCTATCCTTCTGCTTTTCTGTTATAGCAATAAGGTCATAGCCCTACGAGTGCATGCAGACTTCTAATTCCTCCTGTTTGGTGCCAGTAGCGTACAGGCATTTCAGAGAGGCACCCAGCCATGCCGATTGCCCAAAAGGGGTATGAAAGCTTTCCCCATAATGCCATCCCATAGGCATTTTCTTATTTACATGAATATACTTGGTGTGACCCCACTTCAGCACTGTTCCCTGTTTTGTTGACTGTGATGTCCCTTCAGGTCACATCACCCCAGGCCCTTTGCTTGCCCACCACATCCACTAGTTTCTCACTTGATTGTCAAGGGTTCTCTTCCTTCCCACTTTATTGTGGAGTGCACTCTAAAGTGCGGCATATGCTCGTGGTTTACACGTTGGAAATGCAGCTGCATTTCGGAGGACATTTTAGGAGGTAAAACATGTGAACAGTAGGTTAAACTCACTGTGTTTAAGAAGAACCTTAAGATTAGGGTCATCTTAAAAATCAATGCCTTACTAAAACAAGACCCATTTTGCACCATTTGAACATTCTGCTTTGGGAACTAACTGTATCTCAACTTCCTTTTTGTAAAGTATTTCTCATGGGAGTTCTGAGGCAGATGCTATAATCTTATTAGAAATGCTTTTACAGGAGGAAGTGTGTATGTGTATAAATATAAAAGTCTTTGCAATGCTTAAAGTTGTATTTAAGGCTGACCCTCACTTTTAATTCTAATCTCCTTTACTTTACTTGCTCTCAAGTTTTTAAAAAAATGTCCATTATCTCCACTGATGAATGGTAAAGCTGTTTGATGAGTTCAAGAAAAAAGACCTATATAGATGCTTTGAAACAGCATATATTGCTAAGAATGTACATTTCACAATCAGATGAATTTTCAGGAGAATTTCTGCTCAGGTGTAAATCCCAAGTTACTGGATTTCAATCTCTAGATATGGTAACTCACAAAAGCATTTGAAATAAAATAGGAGTAATCTCAAAGCCACTGTGAAATGAGAGAAAAATAGGATTTTTTGGAAAGTAAATTCACAGACTTTTTTCCTATGGAGATACATAATTGTATTGCTGCATTATATAATTCTTTAGTACCACACAAAAACTTCTCATTTAAGCATTGTGCATTAAAACCATTATAATTTTCAGTTCTAGAGGAAAAGGCTTTGTGAATCTGATAGAATGTCAAATTCCTCAGTGTAATCCAAGCATGATAGTGTAAATTTAAAGAATTAAAAATAAGCATTTATTTCATGTTGGAATAGAAAAACTTATGCATGAACTAGGATTAACATGGAGAAGATTATTGGTAACATACATTCATTCACAATGGAATTAAAATAATTATATTGAGAGCTATTTAGGTCATTCACTGTTTCTTAGATTAAACAGAAAAACTTGAAATGCTGATGAACTAATATTATGATCAGAAACTTGCTTTTTCTTTCTTATTTTTGTGAAAGGTTAAACAGCAATTGAAAACTAAGTTCTCTTCCATACTACTTCTTAATTACTTTCTGACTTGCATGAGATAAATTTATAACTTCAGGTTTATATTTTAATGTAGAATTTTACACAGTTTTGCATACTATTTAAAGAATTACTTTAAAAAAACAAAAATATATATATATGTATATGAATAGCCAGCACCCAAGAACATCATGTGCAATTCTGGCTCTAAAGCAGGTGTCAAAACTCTCAATATGATTAAGAGTGATAATTTCATAGCTGATATTAGACCCTGCAAGCCAGTGAAATTATAGTAGTGTAAAACTGAACTAAATCAAGCTGAAAACAAACCCGGTCTTTGCTCTAGCAAATCTTACCTTCAGAAGTTTGAACGGCTTTTTCTGTATCCACAGAGCCATCAAGTTTTTCTGTGATAAAATAAAGAAATCAGATTAATTCTGTATTATAAATTTTAGCAATGCATCTGAAATACTAATTCTCAGATTTAAATGTTTGTTGGAAGGTTGGAAAGACACTATTGGCAGTCTCACACATGTCCCACAAGATTTAAAGAACTGGAGCATCTTTTGAGGAGGAACTCTTTGTAGCAGCCAAACCACTCTCCATATGCATTTTGATCAGCCCCTCCATATATCATATCTCCATATCTGAGGAGGACATTGTCTGTGCATGCCAGACTAGCCTGTCTCGATCTATCACTGAGAAAATTGCCAATTTCAAGAATATCGCTTGATGTGACTAACCAGAAAAATAAAAAAGCCACTTGCCTTTATCATTTCCATTCCTCAACATTTTAAACATAATACTGAACACCAGGGTGAACTCAGTTATAATGTTTTTTCTTTCTTTTCCTTATCAACAATGTTAAAACTTACTTAGGAAAGAACTTGATGAAGAAAAGAAGTCCTTAATGGCAATAAGAAACAAAATAATTCCTCCATATTTTGAATCAGAATTTGGCAAGGAGTTTTTCCTGAAAAAGGTAATGTAGCTGAAAACTGGATGAGTTTGTGTTAGGCCAGGTAGTTTCTGTCATACCCCCACAAAGACAGTTGTGGGTTTACATCTCAGCCTCAATTTATCTCAAGAAACCATTACAGAGGACAGTTGTGGCAGAATTAATACTGGGAATTATATGGCCTTGTAAAAAAAAACATATCTTGGAGATGATATATGTTTATTGAGTACAAACTCCATAGATCCCTTACATAAACTCTGGAGAGAGTCTGATTCAGAGCAGAAACTGGACCTCGGGTCTTTTCACTTACCCCTCAAAAACCTCTCTCTGCTAACTAAAGAGGAATTAGTAAAACTAACCTTTCTGGGTTAATGGTGGGCTTGGCATCTTTCCTGTTGTAATCTCACTTGTTAAATGCTCTAAGTGCATAAAACATACTCAAAAATGTACTTTAGAATCTGAGGTATAATGATGTCTATTTTTTATAGTTACCACTTTGGTTCTGTTTATTTGTTTCCTTTGCACCCCCCCCTTTTTTTTTGTCTTTTTTTTGGGGGGGTGGGGTGGGGGCTGGTATCTGCTGGTTTTTTATAAAAGTTTAGTTGGGAGACCTAAGCCCTCTTTCTTACTTTTCTCTAGTTTCCTGATGTGGAAGCACTGTCTATGGAACTTCCTCCAGTTCAAAAAAAAGAAAGTGGGAATTTCCCTCTAGAGATGATAAAAAAAACCAGTAGAGGTAATTTGAGCTCTTCTGTCTGTAACATTTTAGTATCATCTTCTTCATTGTTTTATCCAGTTGTCTCATTTCATATTGCAGTTCAATTTAAGGTTACATTATCTGACCCCATGTATTCCCAGTCATTTTGACACATGAACTACTTGGACTACAGTGGCTATACCTATTCTGATACACAAGACATACCCAGCAGTATTTCCTAACATTGAGATCCACCAATACGGAGTAGGCTGTGTAAATTCAGTCTCCCAATACAAGATGGCCTTTTTCCGGGCCAAAACTTGTGTACCTGAGAGTGTTTTTAGGGAGACTGTTAGGTGGCACGGTCAATATCATGCCAGCATTCTAACAATTTAACAGTGTAGATTATCATATTCCAGTATCTGGGAATGTTCCTGTTTAATCCACTAATATAAATGTGGTCTATGAGACTTCTATATTTAGTGTGTTAAAGGTGTCTTTACAGACATCACTGGATGCAGAAGCACCATAGGCTTTGGATGCAAAGGGGAAGAATTGTGCTATGAATGAGGGGTGGATGGATGCAAAATGCTCAAGAAAAATTTCAATGGAATAAACAGTAGTTAGGAGTGGATGAGCAAGAACTAAGGAGGCCAAGTTTAGAAAAAGACTAGTATGACTATAGGAATAACATGGGAGATGGAATTCTGAAATTCAGTGGTGAGAGGGGCAGCTTGGGGATGAGGGCAAAAGCAATATGGAATAGGAAACATGCAGGCTAAGGATAGTTTGGAGGATATAGGAGGAAAGCAGTGACTGCATGATGGGAAGCAGTGAAAGAATGAACCATCATCTTAGGTTTGAGCTTTACAGCATTGAGAGGAATAATTCAGTTATGTTTGAAAAGCAGCCCCACAAGTTACTGAAATCACATAGTGAGATTAGAAGTCACACACAGCAAAGAATCGTATCAGGAAAGCAGTCTTCCATGGGGCTTTATCAGACCCCCCACTAATTCCCATATCTCCTAATTTTGCAATCACCAGAAGACCTGTGTTGGATTGTCCGTTAGGCCTTTATGGTTTATTGCTTGGTTGGCCAGAGAACAAGAAATGACTAATCACAAGGTAGGCATTTTTGATCCCTGTTGCCCAGTGGAGCAAATTGTCACATGCAGAATTTACCTAGCCTTTAATGATTATGTAGACAGCTTTCAAAGGTTGTCTAGAGTAAAATGCCAAAGTCTGTGATTTTTTTAAAATCTGTTTATGAAAATGATGATAATGAAAAACACTTGTCACACTATTCCATTAATTTCCCTTTAGCATCTGAACATCTCAATGCTATGAATGATTCCTCACCTTCACCTGACCTTCTGCTGCAGGCACATTCAAAACAAAATGAAGGTTCCAGCAGCACAACAGGTAAAGCTGCCTTCCAGAATGTAGTTTGGAGCAGGTCACTATCTATCTTCTTATAACTTTGACAAAATTTTTACAATAGAAATTTAAATCCACCTATCTTTGTTCAGCATTGCAAATACATCTGAATGCAACACTGGCAGGCAGGGAGAGAGGTATAAAGCTAATGGTCTAGTGGAGGGTGTCCCTGCCCGCAGCAGGGGGGTTGAGGTCCCTTCCAACCCAAACCATTCTATGATTCTATGATTCCCTCCTTTACCCTAGGAGGCTGCTGTAACAACATGGGGACAGTAGAACTGCAGACAAAGCCAAAGAAGTAATTTCTCTACTAAAAAAAAATTGCACAGGCCAATTTTTCCTGCTCATTAAGGCCTTGGAAGACTGTGGAACAGAGTTCTCTGTGCTTAAATGGTCTTTGCCATCTCAACATCCCCATTCAGATTTGCTTTCCTTGCTACGTCTACTGTCATTCACTCTGTTTATGCATCTGCTTGTGATGACAGTCTTGGATGATCACCACTGGAGAGCCACCGGTCTGCTTTAATTAGCCCCAACCTTTGGCTGCTGCATAATGCCATGCCAGCTGAGATTTGGCAGTGCATGCTTGCAAAAAAAATAAAATCTATCCTTGCATCCCATAGTTACAGCTTCCCTTCTCCCCTTCCTTTCCCTTCCACACAATACTGGTACCCTTTCGTAGTTGTGAGGCTCTGTAACAGTTGTTGCCTTCAAACTTGCTAAATTTCCTCTGTTCTTTATGCATAATCCATAAACCTCAAGGCAGATGTACTAATCTGTACTTCCAGGGCCGCAGAGTAGGTGACAAAAGGAACAGCAGCTTGGCAGGGCAGGGAGGGGTTGGAGAGAGACAGATGCCGAAACTACACTAACTTCTAATGTCAGCGCATGAATTTTGCTTATCTTTAGGCAAACCAAGAAACGCTAGTGTTTTGTTCCATAATGTATATGTTTTCTTTTTTTTGGCTTTTTTTTTATAAGCTCTGGGCCATTCGCTGTGCAGGTGGGAAGCCTTTCTCTACCACCTGCAGTTCTGTTATCTGGAAATAAGAGGGAAATCTAGAGAAGATGCTGTTCTCAAATAACATTTCTGCCTCTTCACAATGACTAACTGACCAGACTCAGCATTTCAGCTAGACAGTGCCTGCAGCCCAAAGTGAGAAAAAAAACTCTTCAGTACAATATACTGAGCTAGAGTTTGACGTATGGTGAGAAGACAGCCACCATAGTTATCTTGTGTTTTCCCTTCAGAAGTTATCAGACTTTACAATAAGCTAAATGTGTCTTAAGCTATCGAGCAAAAGCAGCTGTATTTAGATCTAAGTTGTTCTGGCCATCCCTATGCTCCATCTATCATCTAATCTACATTATACAGTGGCGCATATTTCAAAGATGACAAGGTAGCTAAAACCATCTTAAGCCCAGACTCAGAAGCATAGAGGTCATCATCCATATGAATGAATTGTTGCATTCAAGACAATAAATCCTGTTCAGAGACATGGCTTCCAAGCTGGTTGTGCTGGCAGAGCTGTACTGCTTTGGGGTCTGGGCTGGAATTTGTTGTTATATGGACATACAGATTTGACTTGATCAGCTTGGGTGTTTCTGCACAACTGATCATTGTGCAGTGCAGGCATGCCTTTGGAATGGTAATGATGTCCTCAATTTTGACTTTTAGTGTTTTCACAGATGTTTCTATCTTCATTGCAGGTTTCCACTGAGATGCTTCCAACTAATTAGTTCTAATAATTATAGGTCAACTTTACTTATTAGTTAGCTTTTAATTACTTGCTACTATAAGGGGGTTTCTTAATGTCTGTCCTCTTAAATAAAGAGACCAATTCTTCTGTCCTTGTGCTAATCAAATACTGTCATAGAAAATAAAAGTCTTATGTGAACAAGAACTTCAGGATTAGGCTGAATATGATGCTTTGTTTTTCATGCTTTTGGAAATCTTTCCTTCCCAGACCTAAACAAGGCTGCAAGATCACAAGAGACACCCTTTCAATGTAAAGTTCAGAGTCTGCTGGTGAATGCTGCAGGACAGCCAAGAAAAGAGAAAGTGAAATTACCATCATCACTTCAGGGCAGAAAACCAAACTCCATACCAAATAACAAGGTAAAAGAACATCTTTTTTTGTTGATATTAATATTCTCTCAGTCATCTTTTTTTGCATTAAATATTCCTTCTGGAACAATACTGTAAGGTATTTTGAATCTGTTTACTGAAATGATAGCAGTTGCAATTTCCGTCTAAGTTTACTGGCAATTGTAAAAGTACCTTTCCTCTCAACTGCTAGGACAAACACGTATGCCAAAAGCATAATTCCCCCGGAGACATCTCAATGGCTTAATATGCCTGAAAACTAAAACCAGTATAAATTTCTGGACAATATTCAAAGTGCCTTTTAGGTGTTACTCAAATTGGGGTGTCTTTTTGTAATTTTTCAGGATGACTGGACAGAGGTCAAATGTAGGGTAAGTAACTCTGAACTTAACTTGATGGTCACCAACTTTCTCTGTTGTCTAATATAATTCTGTTTACAAAGACAGAAGATCCTGTCGCAGGAAAGATCAACACATCTTCTCTTGCAACAAGACAACAGCATCTTAGTGGCTTCCATCTCATTCCACCCAGAGTGACACTTGGAGTGCTAAAGGAAGGCTGCACCTATGCAGCTACCGTGATCCTGAAGAATGCTGGTGTGAACTTCTCAAGGTTAGTTTAAATTCTTAGTACCTTGTTTTTTAACTGTCCAAATATGCATTGCTTGTTAATTGTCAAACTTCTGATCTGATTAGCATGAGATAACAAAGGGCATTTTTATGTTTGGAATCATTTGATAATGGCTGACTGGATAGAGGAGAGGAGATTAATATTAGAGATGCTTCAGCATTATTTGCATATTAGTGTTATTAGGAAGATGGAAAGGACTAAGGAACAGCAGGTCATATGTGCATAGTCCTGGCCCATCACAGATTATTTACTGGTTCTTATTGAACTCTTTCATGGTAACCAGTATTACATTTGGCTTTGGAAAATATCACTGGATGCTGCTAGTTAGACAATCTAAATGGGCACAGTTGTATTCAGGCAGCTACGTGTCTTTAGCTGCACTGAAGTGATGACACTGGAAACAGAGGACAAGGATGAAATAAAGCATTTATTTATGCACACATTTCCCTTAGTTAGTGCCACCCCTGTCAGTGTGTGGGACAACGTAGCACCACACTGTGTTCCAGTGTGGTGAGCATAAGTCCATTTCTAGGTCTGCAGTCCAGCAGATTGGCTCTTGCACTGCATGACAAATCACAAGAAATTATCAGATTACCCAGCTGTGGTTTAGAGAATATATAAATACCATAAGAAAATGTTTCTGACTGCTCGCTCTTCTGTGCTAGAATTCCCCTTATGAGTGACTGCACATATGTTCCAGTGGTTTTACTATAGCGGTATTCAGGCAGGTGTGCTCATGACCCCTTGTCATGGTTTAACCCCAGCCGGCAGCTAAGCCCCACACAGACGTTTGCTCACTCCCCCACAGTGGGATGGAGGGAAGAATCAGAAGAGTAGAAGTGAGAAAACTCGTGGGTTGAGATAAAGACAGCTTAAGAGGTAAAGCAAAAGCCACGCATGCAAGCAAAGCAAGGAACTCATTCACCACTTCCCATGGGCAGGCAGGTGTTCAGCCATGTCCAGGAAAGCAGGGCTCCATCACGTGTAACGGTTACTTGGGAAGACAAATGCCATCACTCCAAACATCCCCCCTTCCTTCTTCTTCCCCCAGCTTTATATGCTGAGCATGACGTCATATGGTATGGAATATCCCTGGCTGTGTCCCCTCCCAGCTTCTTGTGCATCCTCAGCCCACTCACTGGTGGGGTGGTGTGAGAAGCAGAAAAGGCCTTGGCTCGCTGTAAGCACTGCTCAGCAGTAACAAAAGCATCTCTATATTATCAACGCTGTTTTCAGCACAAATCCAAAACCTAGCCTCATACTAGCTACTGTGAAGAAAATTAACTCTATCCCAGCCAAAACTAGCACTGCCCTGTCCCCCCACATGCCATATGTGTGACAGAAAAGAAGGCAAAGCGTATCCTTCCCACTCCATTTGCTCAACTGCACTTTATGCTGTATGTACCTTGCTTTTTAGCTTAAAGGAGAACCTGTAACAAAGGTCTCTAAGTCCATACAACTTCTGGGCTTCCACTGAAGTTTTTTCACTTCAAAATAGCTTCATTTGAATGGTTATAATCACACCAGATGCTTTCAAGAATTGCGGTACTTGGTGGGAAGTTTTCATTTCAGACAGCTCAAAAGCCGCAAAGCCAAAACCAAGCTTTTTAAATTTCTGTGCTTTAAGATAGCTATTCCCACCAGTTTTCCAATGTCAGCTTGAGTGTGCAAGTCTCATGGCCGTGATGTACTGCAGCTTCTGGATGCTGTTTCTTTGGAGCACTTTTCACATGAGCAAGCACCTGCCCAACTTCCCTTTTCTGAATGCAGATGACCTACAGTCTGATATCCTCTTTAAAAAGAGAGTTGAGAGAGGTGTCACAGTGACCCTACCTCAGCAGTCATAGCATCCTTTTATTATGGCACTACAATGCTGGAATGAAATAAACATTTATGTATAACATTTATTGTTACTCCTTGGGTAGCTAATGATCATCAAAAGAGGAGCTCACAGGAGACTTATCCTGGTGGGATCATCGTGATCTCTTGTGAGTACTCAGCCAACTAGGCACTTTAGAAATCTGTTCAAGACCAGCTGAGAGACTACTGTACAGCTCCTTACATCAGGATGGAGGGCAGAGATTTTTATTTTTTAAGTCAGCCTAGTTAGATATGGCCTCAAAGAGACATTTTTTTCCTTTAACGCCCATTTAAGCATCATGGCGCATGCCAGGATAAATCAACACATCACAAACTACCATCCTAGCGCTCATGATGTGCACGTTATTTATTTTTTTTTTCATGCCAGGGCACTGTATGTAGACAGTCAAGGAAAATACCACCAAAATTCTGATAAATCCAGCTTATCTTTTAAGCCTTTTACTAGATGCTTTGAGAAGAGAGCTAAGTGAGTAGCTGTTGAATGACAGCAGAACATGCTGAAGGCAGAAGTAGGGCCAACGGTAGGCAACTCTGAGCCATGTTTGCCTCACACTGAAGGCAAAACTTTTCTGTGACAGGGTCAGTAGTTAACTGTGTGCCCTCCAGACTATCCATACTGTAGCCTGAACTTGCTGGAGTGTCCTGACACAAGTCAAGTCCAGTTTGTCATAACAGCCAGCACTCCAAAGAAAGCACAGGAATTCTGACAGCAAGTTGATAATACTGCCAGAGCTTTCCATAAGATGGAGCCATATGCTAGGAATGCCTCTTCTACTGCCTTTCCTTTAACAGCTTCTGGTACAAGTGCATGCTGGTAACTGTTCTTCAAGTCGAATGAAAAATCACAGGGTAAAGTCCAGAGCCATGCAAAAGTAGAGGTGCCATCTGCTCTAATGGTCTTTAGAGATCTTAACAGTGGAAGCTCTGTGCACGAAAAGACTGCACAGATGTGAAACAATCACTGAGAAATGAAGTGAAACTGCTGCCTTAGTGGGTACTGTAAAATTAAAGAGGATTATTTACAGAAAATTTATACCTGTCCTATGCATCTGCAATGCAATCATATCAAAGGACATTAAATAAAGATCGTTAAGGACTTCTGGGTGTGCAACACACAGGTGTTTGCCAAGAAGATGTAATTTGTACTTCAGTTTCCTTTGTGTATGCAGGCTTAGAATGCTGATGTTTCACCATCTGTTGTAAGGACCAGGCAGTGTAACAAGCTCTTCAGAGACTTACTTTGGCCTATTAATCTGCTCCTTTTGAGTATTTTTGTTAGAAACCTGAGCTGTGGTGAGAAGCCGAGAAATACCACTGTAGCCCAAGTTGTACATTGTGATGGGAAGGATGAGCTAAAAAATTCTGCTGTTATCTGCACAAGTGGAGGGAGAGCAGCCAGCCTGCTTCCAAGCAGTGCCTTCCCTGCCTGAAAGTTTCTGGCAAACTGATTCTCTTCTCTTTCTGACAGGTTTCGGGTGAAGCAACCACCTCTGCACACAGGACTGAGAGTGATGTACGCACCAGGACCTGTAGGTTACACAGAATATCTTTTGGTTTTTGCTAGGCTCAGCTAGCCTTCAGGCCATCTAGGGGTTCTCTTGCACCACCTGTCCCAGAATAGAGCTGGTAGGGTACAAGATTTGTTTAGTTATTTGAAGTGATGCTGCCTTCCACTGTCCCTCTGCTGCCTTCCAGCACCTGCCATGCTCTGAGTCTCAGAGTTTGTGCCAGAATGCAGCGGGATAAACACGTTAAGTTCAGTGGAAAGTGGCAGGGTCAAGCACCGAGGTTAAAGACAGCTTTTTTGGGATACTTTGCCACTGCCTCTGACTTTTCCCATGGTTTAGGGTACTTTTGTATCTGCTCTGTCTTACACGTAGATTTTATCTCCTGTCCTGATACCTTCAAGAGTTGAACCTAGTAAACACACTTGCCTCAGCTATTTCTTCTCCTGCTTGCAAATATTCTCCACCTTAAGTCTTTTATCTAGCAAAGTACCATAGCATGTGAAATTGTCCCATTAAGTAGGAAGTTTTCATGCTTTCTGCTTTTGTTCAGTCTTTCTCTTCACCTACGTGTTGTATCTGAATAAACATTGTGCTGGCCAGTATCCCCACTGTATCCAGCTAATACCAGGCAATATCCTTGCCAATGCTTTTACAGGTGCCAGGAGGTAGTGCCAGAATGCAAGTTACACCTTCTAGTCCAGAGCACCAGCCACAACTCAGTACTTAAAAACAGCTGTAGTAATTTCTATTTTCTTTTCCTCTCCACGCATCCATCCCTTTTGTATCTCTCTTGTCTCCCTACTTCTACGTTCTTTTATTCTAGGATAGAATAGACTATTGCAGTTAGAAGGGACCTACAACAATCATCTAGTCCAACTGCCTGACAACTTCAGGGCTGACCAGAAGTTAAAGCATGTTATTAAGGGCATTGTCCAAATGCCTCTTCAACACTGACAGCCTTGGGACATCAACCACCTCTCGATTCTCTCCCAGCTGTCCCAATTAACCCTTTTCCCTCTGGAACCTAAAAGGAAATTTAAGGGGAAAAAATGCAAACACGTGGCAGTTTTCTTTCAAACTGCAATGTGAAGAGACACTGTTTTGTAGAGACCTCTCTAGTGAAACAGAGACTGGGTAACTGGCACGCACCGTCATGTGCGCTGGGCACTAAGTCTTGAATTTCATCAGACAACACAGAAGAACCACCAGCTGCAAGCACTGCTGGAGGGGATTATGTATGAAACATGCACCTTACCTGTGAGTAATCCTCTGTCTCTCCTAGGTGGCAGCAGGCTTGCAGGTTGAACTGGAGATACAGATTTTTGCCATGGTAATTGGAGGGGAAGGTACTGGTGGCCTTGAAGAAATTTCCCATGATATTGAAATATTAACAGAAACAGAGACTCTTCTCCTGCCTGTGAGAGCAAATATCCTTTGGTGTCTTACTTCCCACACATGCCTTCTAGCATCAAGCCTGGGGACCTGTCAGGAGTCTTAAGCATTGTTTCCAGTGCAGGCTGCTGAAGGTAGCAAGCTTTGCTGTCCTTTTCAGAAACACACAAATGGGTGTTTTCAAAAGCCAACAAATGAACAGTTTAAGCTTCTGACCCCCAAAGCAATTTACATCAGAGTAACAAGGTTTTGAAAAGTGGGGGAAGGAAGAATGGTAAACTCAGAAAGATGTGGCTTTTAAAAAATAAATGAAAAGAATAGGAACCCTTTCCAACCACCCCCGATGGAAGTCTTTCATAACATTTTTGACCTTATGGTAGCATCTGATGGTACAGCCTCATGAGGAACAAAATCATTCTGGATACTAAACAGACAAATGAGACAATCCCTGTGTCAGCAGAGATGCAAGCACATAAGTGCATGAGTGCCCACTCAGCCCAGTCTGAGTTCAGTGGGCTTTTCAGTTGTTTAATTGAGGACAGAGGTAAAAGAAAACAGTAGAATCAAGAACTAGTATTTCTCCTTCCCTTGTGCTCCAGAAACTATAATTATTTTTCAGATAAAATTAATAAATAATTATTAAAATAAAATTATTTTTAAGGGCAACTTCAGAAGAAAGAGTGAAGTTCTCTTTATCTCTAATCAAATTGACAGTTAAAAGTCTGGGAGAAGAGGTCTTCTGGAAGCCTATAAAAGAAACAGCAAGGCAAGGTGCATCCAAACACACCAGAAACTCCACTCCTGCTAAGGGCCGCCCTTACCAAAGAAAGGAGAACTTCAGGGTCCTCTGAGACTGCCCAGAGTACTAGCTAACAGCAGCTCCAATTGAGGCTTTATATGCCCTGGAAGTGACATTGAAACTCCCCAGGTTGGGTCATAGTGACCCAAAGAAGTCTTTCTTGTCTATTGTTGTGGAGCTGAGCTAGACAGGACTGTTGGCATAGCAGCCAAACCAGCTCCTGCTCTGTTCCCTCTCACCCAGTCCCCAGACACACAGTTGCAGACCAGCCACCAAAACATGTGCCCTTCCCCAGTATCTTACCTGGTCTTTAATATTTGTTTCACAGCCTTATTTCCAGAATTCTTTCCAGCCTCCGCACACATTAGTTTAGTTACATAAGTGTACAGACATGGTTAGATCCTTAACACGATATTCCACCTGTGTTAACCAATGACATTTATGAGCACCGTCCACAAGGATACCCCCAGGGTGGGATGGCAGCAACAGTCCGTGCAGTTCCTACAAGCCCTAAACCGCAGTTCCGGATTACACTTCCCCGAAAGCTTTCTAGTTAATGTAAGTACTGGATGCAGCGATACCAGCCATAAATTATAGTTGTTTTACCTCCTCTTGGCTTCTGATCCACATCACCAAACCTCATGCAACTGACAACAGTGCACACATCACACAGACGTGACTAGCTGAGACAAGAAAAGGGACGCAGTGGATGACATTAACCAAAGGACTCACTGCAAGAGATTTACAGATTACTACAACTGCTCAGCTCAGTGGATGCACTCACAGCAGAGCCTCCCCAGTCCTGTCCCAAATCCTTCACTTAACTGTCTCCATATTAAACAAGCCATTGAGCCTACTGGCAGGAGGAGGCTGGATTTATTGCAGTTAAGCCCTAATAAATCAGTCTCTCTTTAACACTCTTCACTTTCTAAAACCAAGTCTTACTGCTGACCCTTTGACACTAACAGCAAGTCTAATAAGGGACAGGAGTCTTACAGATAGACAGGGCAACCTTAACACGACAAGTTCAAGCACAGACAACCCTCCACACACATTGTTTCATACAGCACGTTTCTGTAACCTTAGAGAATCAGACTATATGGAAAATGGAGAAGTCTTCCCTGCCAAAAAGAAAGCCTTGCTGGGAATTTCTCCTCAAACCACCAGCCAACATATTCAACATTAGGCTGGTGTTTCATCTCACCCATATCAACTCAGGCACTCTACAAAATACCATCGATGGTGACAGTACAGAAACAGGAACCCTACAGATGTTTCTTCTCTCCTCAGGTCAAGAGTCCCCATTTGCCTCGTATGTGTAACACTGACAACATCTTTTTTCTTTTCAACTTTAACATCTTTCAGTCTGCCATGTTATCTAACAAGTCAGTGAAGAATCCCAGCTGTATCTCATTTCCTTTCCTCTGAAGAAAAGCAACCACATCAGTCAGTTCTCAAAAGAAACTTTGCAGACACATGCACCTCTGACTCTGCATCTGCTCTAGGACTGCCCAGAGTACATCAAACATAGTTTTTTTTTTTCCTGTTTAAATACCTTCTTACCTTTTCCAGTGGGGAATTTTACCCACCAGAGTAACATGCAATTATAGTCTAAAGAACAGCAAGTTTAATGCCTTCCAGGTTAGGGGCTTACAAGCTGGAGCTCATCAGTGAAGGCAATTTAGACAAACTTCTCTCACTTCATGTTGAAATGGAAGAGAAGTAGTCACCCAGTCAGTTCTCGTTTTGGTGAGACACCCCGTGTCCAAACGGAAGTTCTGATCAGTGTCATCTCCCGCTAAAAGCTCCAAGTGGAGAGAAATTAACTATATGGTATTCTCCTCCCACATAGCTAATCCAGCTAATCATAGTTGTCGTCACCATAGTCAAATCTCCCTTCTGTTCTGACGAAGTCTTTTTGTGAATTGATTGGTAATTCCTACTGAAGCTGGCTACAACTACCCCATGCTACCCGAGCAACTGTTAACAAATGCCTCTGAAAATTCCTCCCCAAAAAAGCTCCTGGACTCAAAACCATATTCATCTCAAACATGTCAAGGAACTCTGGACTGGTTGGTTTAGTCTTACAAAACATGAAACGTGACACTCCTAGGTTAAGTCCTGTATTTGGTTACATAGTCTTGTTCAACCATCAGAATAGAAATAGTTATGTCAACAAGCAAAAAAATCACTGATGAAGCATCACGTGACCAAACTTAGTCATAGCTCACTTATAAATCAGAAAAAAACCTCAGAAAATATATTTGAAACATTTCACAAAGATTCTCTTAAGAAATACTCAAAATTAAATACTGCATAGGAAGCTGCCTCAGTATTCCTAAGTAGACTGCCCATCCTGGTAATCCTGGCTATCCTGGTCATGATTTTTAGGCAACTTAATTTGTGAAATAAAAGCAACCCGAATCTAGTTGAAGCCCATGTGAGAACCCATCCAAAAGCAAGAGTAGAGGCCAGTTCTGCTGAGGCCAGTCCATCGCAATCACAGTGCTTGCACAACACTTGCAAAGAATCTGGATGTAATTACTTGGTTTGCTTCAACAGCTGTAGAAGAGTAGACTTGGGATTTTTTTCCTTTCATGTTAATTTTCTCTCCTCTTTTACTACAGGTCAGAGCCCTAGAAGAATAACATGAAGATCAGCAATACTGAAATAGCTGAATTTTAGTCCAACAGTATGGAAACATCCCAATGTAGACTTTTTCATTTATTTAATCAGATTAACATGAATAAATATTTTGTCTGTTGCTTACAAATGGAAAAAATGGTCCAAAAGTTGCACAGCCTTCTGGTGTGGCTATCTGAAATGCAAATAGTGGAAAGATTACTGTATTTCAATCCCAGTGTTTGCTACTCTGCACTTCAGAATAGTGCTGAATGGTTCTCTGATAGGTTTATTTTTGTTTTTAAAAGCAGTTAGGTTTCTATAACCTGTGCTAAGGCAACTGAAATCTTTTTGAAGTACTGCGCATGCAGGAGGTTTCACTGAAGTCAATTGTGATTCTTCAAGAAAGAGCTGTTGATCTGCTCTGATCTTTCTAATTCTTTTCACAATCATAGGCTTAACTTTCTGTGTGTTCACCTACCTTTAATTAGCTGTAGACACCAGATGGGGCTTATGAGTACACAAAGTTACACTTGACAGGGAGGGATTCTGCTTGTATCCTCTTGTTCACTATCAGACATGATCATCTGCAAATGTTCATCTGCACATCTCTGCGTAGTGGAAGACTGACGCACTTAGAGATAGCCTTCCCCTCACCTTTATTCCTACTCAGTAGTGACAAAAAGAAACATCTCAGTCTCTCTGTGAGACACCATATCCAAGTGCAGTTCTGCTTTCTTTTTATGAATTCATTTCCAATGAGGGGCTTTCCTGTGCTTCATCCTTTTTCCAGCACGTGACATCCTGAGAGATGGGAAATTTTCCTTGATACATGCAGGTGACTTGTTCTCTCAACACTTTACAGTGACTGAGAATCCCATGATTGGGGATTAAACAATAGCTTTCAACAGTGTGAAATATGAATGCCAGTTTTGGACTCTCCCATCCACGCTGTTAAGTGAGACACAAATTCTAACAATACAGATTTTAAGTTGGCCCTGTATTTGCCAGTGCTTTCCTGCTCAGGTTTGTAAATCCAAGGAATTTCACCTAAGAAAGGGCAAGTATCCAAGGATATCAGAATTCTGGTATATCAGTGGATTGTTGGCACAGGACAGACCTCTTTCATTTAAAGGATATGCTGAGCTCCCTCAGTAGCCATTTGAGTACTGCATTGGTGTTTTCCACTGCCCCACCAGACATAACTAGTTATCCATCAGCTCTTTGAGTCAGATCTGACCTATTAACCAAGGCTGAAAGTCAGCTCGGAAGATGCCGAAACAGATACCCAGCTGTGAACATTGTTTAAGCCCTACCCACAGTTGAGAAAACACCACAAGAACCAGTGCCAAACTTGATCCAGAATGCTCCAGCACCAATGATTTTGTGTCTGAGTGTGCTGATTCCTGCCCTGATGCTTTTCAGTTTTCTGCAGACACAGCCAACTGTCCTACATCAGTCCCCTTGGCAGTGCGTTCTGAACACTGAGGCAAGCCACTGTTGCCAGTACAGACTGGTCATGAGTGATGCAAATCAGAGAACCAGAGGGAAAGTTCAATGGTGAAGCCTGTTTCAGCACCTATGGAGAGAGGACAACCACCTTCTACCACCTCAAAGACCTTTTCTTCCAAGGATTCTTCCCAAATCCCAGTGGCAGCAGAGACAAAAGGTGAAAGAGCTCCACCTCCTCCAACTAAGATTAGACACCTGTCGTCATCATGATAAGATTACTCTGCATCCCAAGGCACTCTTCTATACCACCACCTATATCCTTGTCATCAGTCCCCGAGCTCATGCACACCTGTGGCCATGGCTTTTCTCCCAGACCTCCCAGAGGTTCAAACGAGCTCATTACTTAGGTTCTGTAATATTTATCTCCCTGGCATTAACGTAAACAGAACACATCACATGGAGGCATAGAATCAGCCTTCCCCTTTTGGTATCTCCTCAGTCATCACTGCTGAAGGTACACTATGGTGTCACAAGCCACCTCTCCATTTGTAACACTTTTCATCCTTTGTTTTCTCAGTGGACCAGCCAAGATGTCAGCTGAGGTTATCAACACAATTCATCATCCTCTCCCTCCCACTGCAGTAACCCCTCCTATGAGGGTCTCCTTTGGGAGGAAGAATGGAATGGAATGTGTCAGGATGGAGACATGTCTGGGTGGAGCTGTCTGATCACAAGTTGCATCCACATCTCAACAAATATAAAATTATAGAGGTACACAAAAACAACTAGCAGAGCTGACTGAAGATTGCTATTTCCGTAGAGAGTCTGAGACCCATCTCCTGGAACAGGAGCATGAAGTGCTGTTGTAAATCATCCAGACTCTGAAGAAGGAAGTGAACCATCAACTCCCTGACAAAGTTATTTACTAACAAGTTATTCTAAAAGGTGTCATTATTACACCTGAGTTGCTGCCAAAAAATTGATGAACTAAACTGTTCTCCTTGTGCATAACTCATAGTAATAGAGGCCCTAAGTCAAAGACAGGAGTCAGTAACAACCGGAGTACAGTTAAAAATCTAGATGAAGTTCAAGTTGGAAAGAAGTCCAGCTTTGAGAACTCAAGTCAGACCTGTAAGTCCAACAGTATAATTAGTTTTTCAGCAAAGTACCCAGAAGCAGCCCACACCACATCCACCAAACCTGTGATTACTGGTAAAAAAGACAGCATGTACTACAAACCAATAACTTCCCAACACCAGCAGAGACTTGCTCACTTTATCCTGCCCGCAGTGAAAATAAATCATTTTATCTGATATAGGACAAGTACAATATTGCAACAACTGAGTGCAGTTTCTAAAAACTGGAGCAAGTACAACACAAACAACCCATGCCTTGCATGTTCAGTCTGCCAGCTCTATAAAACAGCACAATTCTGGGTGGCAGCCCTTTCATTTGCTCCCACAGATTTTACCCTCTGGGAAAA